TGAAGTTTTCTGACATTGTGTAATGTTTATGAGAAAATAGTAATTTAAAATCAATTTAGTATGGTCATGTCAATTTTGAAACTCTTAATGTGACACTGGGCATAGTGGCATGTGCCTATAGTCCCAGCTGCTTGGGAGACTGAGGCAGAAGGATCATTTGACCAGCCTGGGCAAAACAATAAGAATCTCTCTCTCAAAAAAAAAAAACTCAGCAATTTGGGGTGTTTATTTATTTATATCTTATATCATTTTTTATTTATTGTGGTACTAGGAATTGAACCCAGGGAAGCTCTACCACTGAGCTACATCCCCAGCCCCTTTTATTTTTTATTTTGAGAAGGGTCTTGCAAAGTTTCCCAGGCTGTCAATGTTTTTAGCAGCTCAATTACAATAGCTAAACAATGATAACAATCTAGATGCCCTTCAGTAAATGAGTGGATAAAATGTGGACGTTTGGGCGCCGCGCGGCCGCTGGCCTCCTGCTCTGGTCGGTGTCCTCCGGCCCCCTGCCTGGAGGAGCTCGCCTGGTTTTGCAGCCGCCACTGTGGACTGTGGCGGCCTGTGCGCCCGGCTGAGCCAGTTTGAACCTCCACTACCTCAACCAGATTCTGAATGTCAAAAAGCAGAGTGTCTATTTGATGCCTTTGAGGAACTCAGGAACTTCCGGCAACCTGGGCTCTCTAGACGAAACCGCCTATGAAAGACTAGCAGAGGAAACACTGGACGCCTTGCCAGAGTTTTTTGAAGACCTTGCAGACAAGCCCTGTACACTGAAGGACTATGACGTCTCCTTTGGGAATGGTGTCCTAACAGTTAAACTGGGTGGAGATCTAGGAACCTATGTAATCAACAAGCAGACCCCAAACAAGCAAATCTGGTTATCATCTCCCTCCAGTGGACCCAAGCGCTACGACTGGACTGGGAAAAGCTGGGTGTACTCCCACGATGGTGTGTCCCTCCACGAGCTGCTGGCCACAGAGCTGACTAAAGCCTTAAAAACTGAACTGGACTTGTCTTCCGTGGTCTATTCTGGAAAAGGCACTTGAATGGCTGCCCTCTCATAAAGACCTTAACAGCTGTCAGGCCAAGACCCCAGCTTCCTTTTGCAACTGAGTGCAGGTTGTCTTTTTGTTTTGTTTTGTTTTCCATTCCTACTTTTGAAGACAACTCTGAAAAGAAATGTCACCTCCCACCTTGCCTGCAGGATCTGATTTAATTTCTATAGTCAAAACAACAACAACAACAAAACAAAAAAAATGAGTGGATAAAGAAACTGTGGTATATATACACAACGGAATATTACTCAGCCTTAAAGAATGAAATTATGGCATTTACAGGTAAATAGACAGAGAATATAATGCGAAGCAAAGTAAATCAATCCCCCCAAAACAAGGGCCAAATGTTTTCTCTGATAAGTGTATGCTGATCAAAAATGGGGGGTGGCAAGGGAAGAATGGAGGAACTTTGGATTGAACAGAGGAGGGGGGGATGGTAGAATGAGACAGACATTATTACCCTATGTAAGGGTACGATTGCACAAATGGTGTGATTCTTTCTATGTCATGTACAACCAGAGAAATGAAAAGTTGTTCTCTAGTTGAGTAAAAAATAAAATAAAATTAATTAAAAAATTTAAAAAAATGTTTCCCAGGCTAGCCTCAGACTTATGATCCTCCCACCTCAGCCTCCGGAGTTGCTGGGATTATAGATTGTACCACTGTATGCAGCTAATAGCATGGTTTTTAAAAGTTACTTTCAGACCTGGGGTTATAGATCAGTGGTGGAGCACTTGCTTAGTACGTGTGAGACACTGAATTTCATCCTCAGCACCACATAAAATAAATAAATAAAGGTATTGTGTCCATCTACAACTAAAAATATTTTTTAAAATAATAAAAGTTCCAGGGCTGGGGTTGTGGCTCACGTGGTAGTGTGCTCACCTAGCATGCATGCGGCACTGGGTTTGATTCTCAGCACCACATAAAAGCAAAATAAAGATATTGTGCCCACCTAAAACTAAAAAATAAATATTTAAAATAATAATAATAATAATAATAAATTCCTTTTATTGATCTTTTTGGACTCAGTGGTGGAGCACTTGTCTGGCTGGTATATATGAGGCCCTGGATTTAATCCCTAAAATCCTGAGAAAAAAGAAAAAGAAAAGTCTTTTGTGTGTGTTGGTGGGGGGGCACAATTTAACCTCTGCTCTTTAGTGGTGACAGATCCAGTCTGTCTACCTAAGCTGAGTAGAGATGTGCCCTGCTTGGACCCTGGTTTCTACTGCTTGAGTGGTTTCTTCATTTGCAGTTGCAACCAGGACACATTTACTCATCACCTGCCTTCCAGAGGAAGAAGACTTCTCAGCTTTGAGCAGCCAAATTTTTGACATATACCTCTGAGGGGTGGTGTGAACTGTTCTGTAGCCTAGTACTGGCAACTATAGCTAATGAGGAACACTCAGTGTGCTAGGCACTACACTAAGTACTTTACATAGCTGGGCATGGTGGCATACACCTATAACCTCAGCAGCTCAGGAGGCTGAGACAGGAGGATCCTGAGTTCAAAGCCAGCCTCAGTAACAGCAAGGCACTAAGCACTCAGTGAGGCTCTGTTTCTACATAAAATACAAAATAGGGCTGAGAATGTGGCTCAGTTGTCAAGTACCTTTGAGTTCAATCCTTGGTACCTCCCCCCCCAAAATAATTAAAAAATAAAAAATATTAAAAAGGGCTGGGGACATGGCTCCATGGTTAAGCACCTCTTTTTTCAATCCCTGGTACAAAAAAAAAAAAAGGACTTTATATATGTGACCTCATTAACCTTTTATTTAATTCTTAGGGTAATTTTGTGAAATATAGATGCAGTTATTATCCCGATTTGACTGAGGAGAAAACTTGAGGCTTATGGAGGTAAATAAGTTGTCCAAGGTCACTCAGCTGATGAGTGATAGAGGTAGAATTTGAACCCAGGCAAAGTCTGTCCTCAGAGCCAGCGCACTTTCCAGGGCACAGCTTGGTAGCCTCTGTGTAAGCTCAGAAAGCCAGGGCCAGGAGCCTGTTCTGTCACAAGGTTAAGGGGAGCATTGACAGACTGGGAAGGACTCTTCTGTCCAAGCAGTCCAGTCCCTGGACTTGGGGCCCAGGGTGGGAGAGGTGGCTGGATTGGGCAGGCCCAGGGCCAGACAGCTGAGGCCTTTCCTCCGTCTCAGTCACCCATTCTGAGAAGGAAGTGTGTTATGTGCTACTGTGAATCTAACACGGCTCTGGACACCTTGGAGATCCCAGTGATGTTGCAGAGGACATCCCTAGCCACAGGGGTGTTATCACTTGTATGAAAAGAGAAAATTAAAATTGGGGAACAAATGGTCATGAATGTTTTCTAAAACATATCACTTTTTGCTTCTCCCTGAGTATTTTTTAGTAAATCCTCAGGGCATTCAAACCGCTTCCAAATCTGCATTGGCATTCAAAGAAGGAAACAGCTTCCTCTTGTACTCATGGACATTGGTGTCCAGTCTGGCTTTCCTCTTTGGTTAAGCCACATGGTCCTATTTAACATAAATTCCCATCTTGCGTATCTGAAGAATGTGCATGGTTCTGGGGTCCTCTACTTTCATTAATTTTTGTGGTGCAGGGACTGAGCCCAGGCCTCCATACTAGAGAGCACTCTACCATGGGGCAGCCCCAGGACCACTTTCACTAATTCTTAAACCATAAGGAGGCTGCAGGAGAGTTCACAAACAGCAGTGGTCACCCTTGCCCTGGGCTCTGTCTACCTAAGCTGAGTAGAGATGTGCCCTGCTTGGACTCTCTGCCTCCAGAGTGGGCTGGGAGAAGGAAAAGGGTTTCTGGCGTTCAAGCCACAATTACCCGGTTTCAGTTCCAGCCCAGCTTGGTCAAGGATCATGTGTCCCTTCACATTCCTCCCTTTAACCACAGACTCTGTGGCTGGTGGGGCCAGCAACAAAAACAAGGTCTCTGGGATTCTACGGAGGATTGAAAGGATGCCCAGCATCTTTTTTTTTTTTTTTTTTTAATCAATGGACCTTTGTTTTATTTATTTAAATGCAGTGCTGAGAATTGAACCCAGGGCCTCATGCATGCTAGGAAAGTGCTCTGTCACTGAGCCCAGTATCTACCCTTTGAATTGTCCTTTTTACTCAATCTAAGCCTCCAAGGTGTGCTAATATGAAATGTTTACCATTGAAAAAGGTAAGAGGCTATCCCTGTGACCCAAAAGTATGCTGGTAGGTGTTTAAAGCCAACTCTCTAAAAGTAAGCCCTGATTTGCCAATTTCAAAGTATACATTTTCCTAAGCTACCAATTTGGCATTACCAAATAGAGTTGGGAAGAAATGGACAGTATATCTTTGTATAGCATTTCTGTCACACAGAGACAACATATAAATAACCTCAGAAGCAAATACAGTGCAGTAGAATGATTAGGAAATAGTATTTAGGGGGTGGTAAGTTTCCTTGTTTTTGTTTGTTTTTGTTTTGTTTGGTACTGGGAATTGAACCCAGGGTTGCTTAACCGTTGAGGCACATCCCCGGCTCTTTTTTTTTAGAGTATATTTTAGTTGTGATGCACACAATACTTTTATTTATTTTATGTGGTGCTGAGGATCAAACCAGTGCCTCGCACCTGCTGGGCAAGAGCTTTACCACTGAGCCCCAGATCTTTTTGTATTTTATTTAGAGACAGGGTCTTGCTGAGTCACTTAGGGCCTCAGTAAGTTGCTGAGGCATGAGTCCTCTTGTAAGCTACTCTGAGCTTACTTTAGCATGACACTGCTCTTTCTCACCACCTATTTCCAAAACTGTGGGTCTTGGGTGGGGAGGCCCAGGGAGCTGTGAGAAAGGTAGAACCAGCAGTGATTCCCTAAATGGGGATGGGACCCTGTATCCTGCTGCAGGTGCCTGTGCCATGTTTATCCAGTGGTCCACCAGACTGATCCACACGATTGAGGAGCATCCTGACCCCCAGTAGAGTCTAAGTGCAAGCTGTTGTGTGCTTGAGTGCTCTTGGTTGGCTTAGACACATTCTGAAGTTCACTTAAACGTTGCTTCACAAGAAACCAACACCTCCTCCTCACCTTAAAGAATGAAGCACCATAACTCTGGCCCATAAACCACTCTCCACAGTGGTAAGTGCCACAGTCATGTGAGCCTCTGTTTGCTGATATCTCTCCATTTTGCCCTTTCAACTGGCACTTACAGAAGGGCAATTCCCAGTACCTAGTGGGCAATCAGTATATAGCAGGTACTCCATGAATTTAAAAAAAAAAAAAGTTTTCCTTCCCCCCCCCAGTACTGGGGATTAAACCCAGGGGTGCTTTACAATTGAGCTACATCCCCAGCCCTTTTTATTTTGAGACAGGGTCTCACTAAGTTGCTAAGGCTGGTGTTCAGGGGGACTGGAATGACCAGAGATTCTCAGAGTATCATCCCTAGACCAGCAGCATCAGCCTCACCTGGGAGGTTGCTAACTGACAGAGGGCAGTGATCTATTATTATAACAGATCACTTTCTTGCTAATTTTATGCACAGTAAGGGTAAATAACCATAGCTAGATGAATCATGGCTCACTTTTTTTCTTTTTAAGACGATCTCACTATATACTTCAGGTCTAATTTTTTTTTTTTTGAACTGGTGACTTAACCCAGGGGCACCTCACCACTGAGCTGCATCCACAGCCCTTTCTAAATGTTTTCTTTAAATTTGAGACAGAGTCTCATTAAGTTGCTTAGGGCCTCTCTATGTTGCTGAGGCTGGCCTTGAACTTGTATCCTCCTGTCTCAGTCTCCTGAGCTGCTAAGATTACAGGTGTGTACCACTGTGCCTAGTATCCAGATGAGTCTTGAACTCCTGGGCTTAAGGTGATCCTCCTCCCTCAGCCTCCCAAGTACAAGTACATGCCACCAATCCTGGCTTACGATGACCCTCTTTTCCCCCCAAAGTCCTCGGGATTGAATCTAGGGATGTACTACCACTGAGCTATTGCCATAACCTCTGTTTTTGGACAGGATCTTGATAACTTTCCCAGACTGACCTCAAACTTGTAATCCTCCTGCCTCAGCCTTCTGAGTTTCCTGGGATAATAAGTATGTTGCCTTTGAGCCTGGCTCATCATAAGTCTCTTTAAGAAGTAACTCCCTGAACTCAGTGAGGGCTCTGCTGAGAAAA